TTATAATCTTAGAACTGCAGAGCTGGAAAGGACCTTATGGATCATCGAGTCCAGTCCCTGTCAAGGAGGCACAGCTGGGAATCGAACTCCCGCGCTCAGTCATCCAGGTGAGGTTATCTGGAAGTTTAGTTGTGGCAACTGGACTTCGTTCTTATTAGGTCGAAACATTTTGCTACTCAGCCAAGTAGCTTCTTCAGTCCTTAATTAGTTAATTAATTCTTTTGTATCGTATCATTTAATTAATTAATTAATTATTCTGAAAATAATTAATTTAATTATTAATTAAATAGTTAATTCTTTTGTAGTGGTTGTTGTGGGTTTTTTTTGGGTTCTTTGGTCGTTTTCTGAAGGTTGTTCTTCCTAACGTTTCGCCAGTCTCTGTGGCCGGCATCTTCAGAGGACAGAACTCTGTGCTCGTTGTTAGTTGGTTCTTCAGTCGTTAATTAATTAATTAGTTGATTTTTGTATTTGATTAATTAATTAATTAATTAATGACTGAAGAAGCTACTTGGCTGTACATGGAACCTGTTATGTTCAGAAGCAGTATTTCTCTGAATGCCAATTAAAGCGAGCAACCTAATTAATAATTTATTGATTGATTGATTAAGTCAGTAATTCATTCATTATTGAATGAACTGTTATCCCATTCCGTTAGTAAATAAAAGCTACTATAGTGTAGTGCTTAGAATTTCAGATTAGGTCTCAGATTATTTGGGTTCAAGTCCTGCTTACTCAAGGGAATTCACTTGTGTTTGTGTGTGTTTGTGTGTGTGTGTGTGTGTGATATTAAAACCATTGTTATGGAGCCTGCATAAGATAGATGCAGCTTGACAGCACGTTATAGAAACGTATAATTAAATAATAATATTGTGCCATAAGAATAATAATTGTAGAAATGCAGACCTTGAAGGAACCCTACGGATCATTGGGTCCAACCCCTATCAGGGAGGCATAGTGGGGAATCAAAGTGACATAAGAGTGGTTGTGGGGGGGGGAAAACACAAAAAACCCAAAACTTGTACCCTGCCCCGAGGACTTTACAATTTAGAGGAAAGAAACAAGGAGGAGCACTGATGGGCGCCCTTCTTTTCTCCCTGGGAGAAGGTCCAAGCGATGCCCCAGACAGAGCAAGGGAGTGGGCGATGCGGGGTGATGGAGGGCACCATCAAGGCAGGACTTTGGGGCAGTCATCCAGGGATGTCCTCAGACCTACCAGCAGGGAGTAGCCAACCAGAAGAGGGGATGAAGGAAGATAACAAGTAAAGCCAAGCTGGTTTCTACACGGACTGGTTTTGCACCTTTCTTTGGGTGGCCTTTTCAAGAGAGGCAACCTGTTGATCCGGGTTGGAAGGAAGAAGGTGGGTTATATTAAAGGACTCTGGAGCAGAGCTTCCAATCTCTCTCTCTCTCTTTTGGACTACAATTCCCAGAACCCACCCGTCGGTGGGGAAGAAACAAGCCCGGTGCTCTGGGACGCGTGTCCACTCTCTGTTCTGCATCTGCACGGCTTTTTCCCTCCCTTGCGGGCTTTCTAAAACAAAGGTCGAAAGGGGGGGAGAAAAACAACGGGAGAGTTTAAGATGAAAGAGGAACCCTTCTAGATCCGGCGTGTAACCCCTCCGTGCAGCAGGCAGCTCGCTCAGCGGCGGGAGCCACACCTCGTCCAGAACCCCGCCCATCATCATAACTGCCCTGCCCTGTGTACTGTACAGGGGTTGAGCTCGGGCAGAGAGGGCATACAGACGACACACGTGTCGCTTTCGTGATCAGATCAGGAAAAATGTTGACTTTTTCTCTCCGCTGCAGGTTTCCACGCGCGCTTTCCTCCTGGAGGACTCTTTCCTCCCCCCCCCCGACCCAAAAAAGAGCCTTTTCTCGGATTGTGCTGCAGTCGCGCCGGCATTGTTTCCAAACAATCGGTTTTGAACTTGCTTTCAACTTCGGCCTCTCTCCCTCCCGCCCCCTCTTTTTCCTTCTCCTCCCCCTCGAAGGAATCGTGGCCTTTTTCGGCAGTTCCTGGTTTGGGGCCATATTAAAGCGCTCCCTCCTCCTCCTCCTTCCCCCCCCACCTTCAAACACACCTCTGAAGGCAAAACTGGAAAGTGTTTAAACAAAGCGGCCGGTGGGGGGGGGTGTATTTCTTTGCTGGAAAAAATGGCCTTGGAAGCAGCCATATCCCTCAGTAACCTGACGTTTTAGTTCAGGCAGGTAAACAGACTTGAAGGGAACAGAAACTCGGTTGTGTTTGTCGTGGCTTTTAAATTCTCTCCCGTAATGGGAGGCCCGGGGGAGGATCCCATCCCACTCATATATATATATCCCCTAACAACGCTGTTTAATTCTTCTCTTCTGAGAATATGCTCAAACGAATTCTCCAGAATGAAAGTCATTCTATTTTTTAAAAATACAATCAGCAAAAGCATCTTGTAGTGCCTGAGAGATTTTGCCTGAAGTTCCACCCGACAGCAGCCTCACCTTTTCAGAGGCATCGTGTAAAACAGTTTTTTCTTACCTGAAATTTCAGATTTTTATTTGATCGTTCTTCAGATCACTTTGTGTGCACGCGAATGCACGCACGTCTTACACGGCTCCGCACTCAGTGAACCCTGTTGGATGCTGTTATGATGATCTGGGGGGGGATGAAGTAAGCCTATTGTGTAACTTTAAAAAAAAAATCGAGTGCAACCAACTGAATGCACAGTATATTCAAAAGTTAATAACAATATGTTGAATTTACTTTTCAATAATCATGGTAACGCTGAATTCTAGAATCTGCAAGGACTGGTATACAGTTCACTAAAAACTTTTAATGATTTGGTTGGAGGAGGCGGAGTTGGAATCGTTATTTACTTTGTCCTCCACAGCCTGACACAGCTGACTGCATTCTATAAGAGGTACTTCCCTCCCCTTCTAAAATAGGAACTGTCTTTTCATAAATGGGTTAAAGAATAAGTGGCGTTTTGGAAGAAACATATGACCAGTTGTATCAGGGATGCCTTTGAGTTAAAATGGGGGCTAGTTAGTTAATTCATCTAACTATTTAACCCATTAAAGCTTGTCCTTCTAGTCGCAATATTTGATTTTTCATCGCCCGGCACAGAGCAGGAAATCTTTCCCAGCAATGTATGAGAAACAAACGACCCATTTAGGTACGTGTGTTCTCCAGGTCCATAGATTAATTAATCATGACTTATTGTAAAGAAGAAGAGTACTGTATAGGAGCGCTTGTCGCATGTTTTGGACATTTAGAAAGGGTAACTAAAAAAAGAAAAGAAAAGGCAATAACGAACTTTGAAACTTAAGGCATGATCCGTGTTAGGTTAAGCCGTTTTAAGGCTGTAGTCACAGGCGTGTTTACCTGGGAGGAAGTCATATTGAGTACAGTAGGAATTCTGATGAAAAGCTTAGCGCTCCCTTGTGAAATCCCTTCCTCTGGATGTCTACTCAGGAGCAGGACCCAGTGAACCGTGTGAGAATTCTAAGTAAAACTGCATAACTTCAGGCAGCTAAATGAGCTGGATCGTGCTCTTAAACATTGCTTTGAACAAAAGTCCAGATTTAAAATTGATCAACTTATGTTTATACAGTTCACATGGAAATTGAGCTCAAGTCCTGGTTGCAAAATGGGAAAAGTCTGAGGCGGCACATTTGATGATCAGTTTAGTTTTGTGTGTGTGTGTATCAATGAGAACATTTTTATTTCAGTGTACACTGTGTATAGAAGGAAAGGTATCACACTTCATACCTTTTTCTAAAGTAGAAAGTAGTTTTAGAAGGGGGGAAAAGGCATTTTAACTAAGTTAACAGTTAAGAGCAGACATCTTACGTTTACCACAACTTCTGATTTTAAGATTGTGACTTAAATCCATGATGTAAACAAAAAACAGCACCTTGCTAAATAGGATTATGTGTTTTGGCGATATGAGCCATGGCTCAATTAAATGATAAATACTTCACTAGATCATTCCGCTCGTGCTAGATATTACTGCCATCGTGACCATTTTAGGGTTGGGGGAGAATCCAGATATCAAATAAAAGGGCTTTGCCCATTTTAAGTGATATGGGCTAGTGTTTTGGTGGCGTTCTCAAATTAGTTTTTTTTTCCGAATTAGAACGGAGGAATTAGTTTGTAAAAAGGAATAGGGGAAAAAATACTAATCAAGAAGCAGACTCAAAAAATAATTAGAGTTCTTTTTGATGGATTTCCTCCTCTCAGGAAACCTGGGCCCTAATGAAATTTTTAAAAAATCAAGGACTTTTCACTCCAAAGTGAAATCGACCGGCTCTCAGGCTTTAGATGGACCCTTTCAAGGAAATGGATCCACCGACAGTATATTTAAAAAGTGCCCGGTTTTTAATCTCTCCACTCCCACCCCGCTTTCTCGCGGCAGGAAGTGAGGGTCGATCTGGCGAGAATCGACTTTAATCTGATCTTTAGAAGGAAAGAAAGAAACCTTTTGTAGATGGGTGTGTGTGTGTGGAGGGAATCCTTATCGGCTTCGCATCCTTGCCCCTTGATGTCCAGATTCTCACACACACACAAATGTCTAAAACCGATGTCTAAAACCGAGAGACTCTCGGCCGCCGGCGGGGCTCTCTCCACAAACCTGGGCTTCCTAATCCAAAAGCGCTCTCTCGCTGTCTCAACAGGTTCAAAGTACAACAGTCTGTAACAAGAAGTATATACTGTATTTTTTGCTCCATAAGACGCACCCCCCCCCCAAAATGGGGGGAAGTCTGTGCATCTTATGGAGAGAAGCTGGTGATTTTGCCCCCACTGGCCCCGTGGGGGGAGCCTTGCAAGGGTCGGAGGGAGCCTTCAAAGACCCTTGCAAGGCTCCCCCACCCCCCCACGGGGCCAGCACCGGCGAAATCGCCAGCTTCCAGGTGGGGGGAACGTCGCAAGGGTCCTGGAAGCTCACTCAGATCCTTGTGACGCTCCTCCCACCCAAGCACGGGCCAGCACTGGCAAAATCGGCAGGTTCTGGGCTGGACTGGATTAAAATGGTGTCCAAACTGAGCGCTTTGCAACACGAACTTCTGGACGCGCTCCTCACCTCCGGAGTCACCAAAGAGGTCTTGATCCAAGCCCTGGAGGAACTGATGCCCAGCCCCGCCAACCCCAGCAGCACCAGCGTGGCCAGCGGCGGCGGCGGCTATGGGGTCAAGCTGGAAAACTTGCAACTCTCGCCCAGCACCAGCGGCGGCGAGGCGGAGAGCAAACCGGTCTTCCACACGCTCACCAACGGGCACAGCAAGGGCAAGCTGTCCGGGGACGAAGGCTCGGACGACGGGGACGACTTCGACACCCCGCAGATCCTGCGGGAGCTGCAGGCCCTCAACACCGAGGAGGCGGTGGAGCAAAGGGCCGAAGTGGAGCGGATGATCAGGTAAGAGGAGGCGAGAAGGGAAACGTGTGTGGGGGGGGTGGCGGTGGGAAGTGCTGGGGCGAAGCTGCCCTTTCGGCGCAGGGCCCGCGGGCGCGGAAAGCTCAGATCAAAGGGGTGGAACGTTCGCGTGGAAGATTCGGGTAGGAAAGATGGAACGTTGGGATCAAAGGGATGGAATGCTCAGGTGGGAACGTTCCAAACCCGACCGAACGTTGCAAGCCTTGGCTTCCGCCTTCTCCTCCCGGCCTTTTTATGCTTGGCACCTTAACCGAAAACGTTGTAACGACCTTATACTGTATTATTATCCAGAATCCAGTCTCTTAAAAAGTGTAGTTTCAAGCCTGTCTCTCTCCCAACTTTCCCCCTACACCCAGAGAGCCTTCTCACAGGCGACGACCATCAATCGATTCTGTCTGTCTGCGTTCGTTTACCCACACTTTTGTGGCCTCCCTGCCTTCTTAGACTCCCCTTATTTGCACTAAAATAAAAACAAAACCAGTCAATCTGTCCCTCGGTCACACACCCACACAATCGACTTTTCCATTTTTAAAAATAATAATAATGGATTATAACCCAGGAAAGTTCACCGTAACATCAATCTGTTCCTCTGAAAGGTGGTTCCAAACTTTTGATTCAGTATTTTGTGTATGTGTGGGGCTCGTACCTGCTGATACGCTGTTACCTGTCTCAAAACAAAAGATTTGAAGTGGACTCTCGTCTCACCCCCCCCGGTATTCACATGTATGGCGTTGATTAAAACAGTCCCCCCCCCCATGAATAGTATTCTTTCACTCTGGTTAATCTCGATTCCAAGGATCTTTCCTAGGGATTATGTCGGACTTTCTGGAAAAAGCGCCGTATTATCTGCATTTATTCCCTATGTTGAATGGAACTTACTGGTGGCAAGCCTGCTTTCAGGACTGCCATCCCAATTTCCTAATACCTTCCTGGCTTCTAACAGCCTCATGAGTTGTAAACATTGCCAGGATAAACGAAACACGACTGCAATTTTCTTAGTTATTTGCAGGATTTCAAGGGTTGCCCTTGAGGCAAGACGTCTGTGTGTAACACCTTGATTTAAAAAAACAAACTATATTTCATGATTGTTAGGGGTTCAGTGCCATCCATCTTACCTAAGAGTAAGCTCCACTGAGCACAACGAAACTTACTTCTAAACAGACCCTGTGCAGGATTTATCTGAAGGAGGGTTAAAAGAAACCCAAGAAGATAAATCTTCTGGACTGTTTTTTTATTTGCTTAGAATCCGACTTACCTACACGTCGCGTTTCCAGTTACTATTTTCTCCTGCCCTTTCTGTTCAAATGCGTATCAAAAACCGGCCCAGTGGAGAAAGAAAAAGAAGTGAGCATCCAGACAGAAGAAGTATTATTTAATCCCGGGGTGGGTGGGTAGATGAGTTTGAATAACAAGGGGACGATTTTAATTCAGCGTTGATTGTTTAAAGGGTGGCGTTTTATACAGGGCTCAACAGAAGTACGCCCGGAGTTCCATTTGTCGTATAGAAAGTGTGTACAGAATAGCAATCCCAACGTATAATATCTACAATAGAATGTTATATACGCACAGGGAAAGAGGGTACATGGTACTTCCAAGGTATATGCATTTTGTGTGGAAGATCAAATAAACATCTAATATAACCCGTCGGTGGAGTGACCCATACCTCTGTTCCTAACAAAACCTCAAAGATTTAGTAATTTGATCGGAAATTGACATCTCCACGTGCGCCCTCCCTTCAAACATAACCCCTATGAATAAAGACACCCTCCGCATTCAGTGGTGTATATCCTCGGCATGTTCTGACGTTACACGTGTGTAGATCACAGTTCCCATATTTTCTGAAAGAGCCAAAATAAATAAACCTTCGACGTAATCAACAGTGTATAATATTCTGTTAGGTTCTCTGTATGTTTCCCCACCCCCCCACCCCAGCTAGACAACTGCCATATATCACCATGCAGATAAAAAGCCATCCTAATAAAAAGAATAATAATTGAGGCTCATTGTCTTCATAGAAAAGGCATTCGTTTGCAGAAAATCGGCTCTAATAATAATTAACTCCGAGTAAAACCCTTTCACTGCTAACTGAGATATTTTTCCTCTTTCCCTCAAAAAAAAATCTTTGGGGCTTTCAACCTGTCTTATTTTCTCTTCCCTCCCCAACCCCCTGCTCTGAAATATTCTTTTATTAAACTAAGGGTATTTACTTAAATGTAATGCTCTCCACCCGCAAAGTCCACTTCGTGAAGTTGGTTACTTATTTATCCCTCGTAGTTTACAGGGTAGTGGTGTGTGTGGTTTTTTTTTTCTCCCTTTAGCAAAATATCAACTAAATAAACTCTGCTATTTATTAACTTACTACGCCTCAATTTAAAGAGGAGCTGGGAATTTATTCCTGGTTTAGCTGGGTTTCGCAGGGCAGCGGGAGAAGAACGGCCGCTCAAAATGGCTCGCCGTCTAAAGGTACCCCCGAACACATTTATATTATTTGTAGGATTAATTCTGCTGGAGAATGGTGTCTGGATAGAAATTAAGAAGGATAGCCGAGTCTAAATAGGGCTTTTTAAAAAATGGCCCTCTCCTTTTAAATCAGACTCTTAACTGAAGAATTGTGATTTTTGTAACAGAAATGATTGAATTGAACGCATTTTTTTTGGGGGGGGGGAGAGAAACTCCGGTTCTTGATGAATTCAAATAGGGTTTACCCCAGCGAGGGTGGGGAACTGTTTAGGATCGCGACCTGAGTTCTTAGGGCACTCTCGCAGCCCCATCCTACAACTCCGATCTCCTCGGAAGCCAAAGCCGACGGATTAATTCGGACGTTCCGCCAAGGAAAGGCAGAAAGTTCGAGGAACCTTCTTTCCGGGAACGAATGTGGCTCGGATTGTGGGATCAAGCGAGACGCCATCCTCTGCCCTCTTACTTTGGGGGTGTCGAGAGGCAGAATGGAGGCTGCGCCTCTTGGCGGGGGGATTAAAGGTTTTGGAGGGCGCTTTATTCCTGCGAACGGGTTGATTTTCCTTGTTGCCCAGCCCTAAATCGGGGGATCGGGCCCATTGACTTCTATGGGATTTCAAGAAGGCCGATTCTATCCGTGTGTCTTCCCCTGCGCCTCGACTGCTAAATAATGAAACTAACGAATGCCCCCATAAACACTTAATATAGCCTTGCGATTTGTTCAGCGTCAGAGACAACGTTTTCCCCCCTTATTCTTATTTGAATTATTGTAAGCGAAAGTTACTCCAGAAGGTTGTAGTTCAAGGTGTATGTGGGGCGCGCGGGCTTCCTTCCTTTAGGGCGTGTACGTTTTAAGGTGTGTTTCCCTCCAAACAGAAAGAGAGAAAGGTTTTGCATGGAGTTAGTGAGCATTGGTAGACTCACTTTTCTTTTAAAGTCTCAGTGATTTAAATCACATACGGATCCAAGTAATAGCTGCCCTGGGGAGGGAGGAGGCTGAATAATA